TGCAACGAATGGCTGCAAGGTTTGAGGCTTTTCAGTTTAGAGAAAAGGTAAGAGGTGCATAAGATGAAGAAGGGTGGGGAGAAAGTGAACAGGTACCAGAACCGGGGGCCATCCAACAAACCTGAATATTGGAAGATTTAGGACAGACAACAGAAAGTGCTTTACCATGCCCTGCATTTCGCTCCCTCAGGATATAGTGCTGGCCAGCGACCTGGAGGCTTTAAAAGAGGATCAGAACAGTTCATGGAGGATAATGGTCACTAGCCCAGTGGCTGTGCTCCCCGTATCCTGGCAGACGAAAGATGCATCTGAATATCAGTTGCTGAGAGTCAGAAGTAGGAACCACAAGTATCCACTGGGACCCCACATATTATTGCAGTCAGGTCATAAGCATCTGACTGGCCACCGTGAGAACAGGATGCTGGACTCGATGGGTCTTTGGCCTGATCCATCAGGGCTCTCCTTATGTTCTTAGGGCTGATTCCCCACAGCTTAAACTTAGCTCCCTAGTGCTCAGCTCTGGCACCTGTTTTCAGTGCAAGGGCTCAGTTTCGAAACCTATAGGTGACAGTGCCCCTGAGCAAGCATAATTTGTTTATTTGCTTACTTACAAAAATATTTATATACCACTATTCATAAACATGTCATAGCAGTTTGAAACATACAATGAAACCATATAACAATAACAAATACAATTGCTATAATGCTGCTGAACAACCAGAGTCCCCACATCTCCAGGGTCAAGGGGCAAAAGCATTTCTATAGTGGGTGTTTCCAGACAGACTAGAGACCCAGCACCTCTTTTTCAAGGAAGAGTCTGAGATCTTTGCTCTCTCAACCATCCTGCTGCATGCTGCCCTTGCCACCTGCAGAGTTAAACTTCCCCACTTGAACCATCTTTTGAGGTCACTTGTGCTAGCATGCAAGAAATGTGTGTTGCCAGCTGTGTATGCCTAGATGCTTGGCAGATCAGGAAGCCCACCTTTATCCTTTATGGTCAGTATTCTGCTCAAGTGGTTAGGCATGAGAGGACGATGATAATGAGAACAGAATAATATTTAGTATTTTAGCCTGTTGATAGCAAGTAGTCAAGATGGTTGTATGGCAGAGGCAAGCAGATCTATTTTGTTGTTGCGAGAACCGTGGAATCAGTGTTCGAAATTAACCAGGCACTAGGCTCATTTTGCACCTGGCTATTGGCCACTTGCAACCAAGTGAAGATGTCCAGGTGCCAGGATGGCACCAGACACCTCCACCATCTGGAGGTGCATGCCTGGGGATCATTACATCTTAACTGTTTCCACACATTAATACGACATCCTGTAGAATTCTATCCATTCTATTTAATCTGCACAATTAAAATGAATTTCTGGAACCAAACTGCCTTTCTGTGCAGCCTGAGCAGGAGCAGTCACCATCAAGAAAAAGAGGTTAGAATAGGCCAATATATGTGGTCTGGATCAACTAGCCAGATGTTTAACTGATAGTCCATCATTTGAAAAATAAGACTTTAGAGCTGTTTTACCACAAAATGGCAACTAGACATTCTGTTTTGGTGACTGTAACCTTGGTTTAATGAGCCGTTTGGCACCTTGTTTATATATCTGAGTTTCTAACACCGCTTGGAATCCACCAACTTGAGCCAGGTCCAAGAGAGTGGCTCAGAATCTAGCAAGATACTCTTAGGCTAGATAGGTGCCATACATTTAAAGCACACTGTTCCCCTCAAAGAATCCTGAGAACTGTAGTTTTTTTAAGGGCGTTGGGAATTGTAGTTCTGTGAGAGGGGTAAACTACACTTCTCAGGATTCATACAGTTTTCTGTGTGCTTTAAATGCATGGTGTGCATTTGACCTTAGAATTAAGGAGCATTGTGCCTCTGAGCATTCTTGCTTCCACTACCAGTACGTGAAAAATCCGCCTACTGAGCTTTTGCCTTTCTAAATTTAGAAAAGAGGAGGAAAGCTGCTTTGTTGCTGTTGCTAAACAGTTGGGAGCCAGAATCTTTGCTGGTCAACTGCCTATCAGCCCAGATCTATCAGTAGATCTTCATCTACTCTCTGTCCATCCTTGCATATGAATCTCTTAAAGAGAGATCTAATTGGAGATCTGGTTTGAGATCTAATTGGAACCCAGCATCCTGCATGAAATAAGAACTGTTGCAAATTAGGAAAAAAGCAAGTTCCTGCAAGATTATTGAATGGTCCCCCACCCCTGTTAGCAGGTTCTCCCTCCTCCTTACTGACTTCCAGACAGGGTTGCAAAGGTTGTCTCTTGCTTTAATTTTGCTCCCTACTTCTCTTGGACCTTTCTCACATTGCTCTCTTCTCCTGCCTGTTTTTATTGGTTACTGCAGGGTTATTCTGCCCTGACCCCACCCCAATGTTACTGGGCTACAGCTCCCATCCTTCCCTCACCATTGGCCATGCTGGCCGGGGCTGATGGAAGTTGGGGGTCTTAGCAACATCTAAGGGCCACATGTTCCCTGCTGTTGGATTATTACAAGTCACTTAAACTATGGCAATACAGTTAAGTACCGTAAGTAAAATGAAAGAACAATCTGGTTGAATGCTTTGGGAAGGCAGGATGCTGGACTAGATGGAACTTTTTGTCCTGATCCATTAGGCCTCTTCCTACAATATTTTATTTATATCACGCCTTAGAGTGCACATGCATTATCTCAAAAGTTCATACAACAGCCTTGTAAGGTAGTCCAGAAATGTTACTCCCATACTGCAGATAGTCAGGGTTTGTTTAAGGCCATCTAATGACTTTTATGATACAGGTGGGATTTGAACCGGGACTTCTTGGTTCAGAGCTCCTTCTCTTGACTGATTTGTCACACTCTTGCTTGCAACATGGTTATTTTCTACATCCCGCAAAGGGCCAGAAACTATCAGGTCTTAATCCCCCCCCATAAGATCTCTTCATCCATCTTTGTGATGATTAATCCAGAGTAACTTCTTTTTCTACTTTCTTCGTTGTTCTTTTTATATTTTTTTCCTGTATTGTAAATCTCTGAGGAGGATTGTTGGTTCAGAACTATGGTTTGTCCTTATGAGACCCTACTGCCCATTCTCCTTTACATCGCCTTCTAATGTGCGGCAAATAATAGCTTACTGTTTCATCCAGATATAGCAAACTGTGGTCTGCTCAAAACTTAAATTTTCTATATTTGACAGCCTATAGTTTGCCACAAATTAAAAAGTAGACCCCCCCCCCGCACTCCACATGGGCAAGAGAGGTGTGTTTGAGTCCAATACATTATCCAGTTCATTTGCATATGACAAAACAATGGTTTATGTCTGAATGCCACAGAAAGCCATAATTTGCATGGTGAAAATTAGCTTCAGAGGTACGCTGGCTTGTGTGTGCCCTTTTCCTCCTCTAGTGCGATTGTGATGAGGTCTTATAAAACCCTTCTTACAGTCCGCAAACTTTTTAATCTAAACTATGGTTTGTTTGAAACAAGCCAACTTCAAACCATGGGTTATGAAGCTTGCTTGTTTAAACAAACCATTAACCACAGCTTAAGAGTTTGAGCCCTACATTAAATGGTTCCTAATTGAAATCAGCAGTGAAAACTTCCAAATGTTCCATGTCTATGCTGGAGGAGGAATAGGAAGCAGGAAATGTCCAGGCTCTTGTCACACTAAACTGCAGTATGGTTGAAACACAAACGTCTTTTTATTAATTGCACAGTGCCTAGTTTTTAATTTGGATGCTAACTAATTGGGAGATATTTATAATGAGATTATTACAAACTACATTCCCATGGTTGCATACTCAAAACTGCCAATGCTGATAAGAACTTCCTGTTAACAAGCATGGTCAAGGAATAATATCCACTCCTTTTGGTGCCATGCACTGGGAAGCTGAAAGGCTGTTAGGCGAGAGCAAGTTTTCCTCAAATGATCTTGATGATGCATCCTCAGAGAGGGGGGAACCAACTTCCCTTGCTCAGGGTGTTGCTCCCGTAAGGTGCCTCAAACCCCACGCTCCATTTGTTGAAGGATTTGTCTCCAGGCCCGTCTGTTCCTAGACCGCCCTCTTTGCTTTCGTTCCTCATTGGCTTTTAGGTAGCAGGTTTACCAGGCTGTTAGTAAGAATCACCAGGGAAAGCAGCCTGTGTGTTAGTGGAAAGGTCATCTTTTATTTAATCGCTTTGGTGCCGTGAGCCCGTGACTCTTCCAAGCCCTGTTCTGACATGTCCCCTCAAGAGCATGTGTGCTTGTTTTGTGTATATTTCTGTGAGCACAAGGTAATCTAGCTTGGGGAGGAAAAGAGCAGGAAGATAAAGAGGAGAGGGAGGAGTGCTGGTGGGTGGGTCAGGGCAGATGACCCAAGGATGGTGGTGCTACTCTGATCACATCCTTTTGACAAGGCCAGTTCCTGGAAAAGGGGGCATGGCAAAGCAGACCCTCCCCTCTCTCCCACAACGTCTCCACTCTTGGATAGCCACTGAAGTGATTGCACAGTACCCAGACAATATGAAAGTGAAAGAGAATTTGTTTGTCGCAGCGAGAGAGAAAAAGGCTTTTTGATGTGTGCGTGTCTTGTGCTAAATTGCCACTAAGACACCACAAGCGGAGTATATCCTTTTCCCCGTCCCATGGTTCATTTTTGCAGCTGAGACCTTGAAGCATACGTGAGAGTTTTCTCCTGTGTGTGTGTGTGTCTCTTGTTTGGGTTTTTCAGCTTGGCAGCCGTTCAAACCCTTCCCAGTCTGTGACATTGCAGTGTGTGTGAGAGGGTTCTCTCTCTCTCTCTCTCTCTCTCTCTCTCTCTCTCTCTCTCTCTCTCTCCTTCTCCTCTTTGCGCTTTTAACCTTTCTCCTCTTGCCTTGGGGAAGGGTGGGGAGGGAAATGAGGTTAAATTTGTAGGCCCTTTGCCTTTGAGGGAAAATTTGAGGGAGGGGGGAAGCAAGTGAAACCTGCAAGTGTGGGACTCCAGTTGTTAAGTCATTTAGCATTCTCCTATTTTCCTTTTCACTGTTGCAGAAAAAAGCAGAAGCAGCACACAGAATTCTGGAAGGGCTGGGACCTCAGGTGGAGTTGGTAAGTCTGTCTCTGATTTTAACAAATATACATACAGTGTTTTTCTCTCTCCCTACAGCCGCCCCCACCTACCCTGTATACTTCCCTTCTCTCCCCCCCCCCCCACTTGCCATCCTTGGAGTTTTGGAGGGTAGCCAAATAGTTGAGAAGGAGGTAGACTGACTCCAGCACCTGCATGATGGCGAGATCTGCAAGGAAGCCTCCCTCTGATTTCAAAATGGCCTGCTGGCCTGATTCTGGTGCAGGAAGCTTAGCAGACAGGGCCAGTGGGCTGAGAACACCTGCCTGGTGACAACAGAATGTAGAGGAAGCTGCATTACATTGGCCCATTCACTCCAGTATGGTCTGCACTGGCATGACTTATTTTTGAGAAACCCATGTTGGGTCTTAGTAATCACAGTGCTCACAGACCGACTGTTGAACTATCTGTTCTAGGACCTTCCCTGGTATCGATGTTAAGCTTACCAGTTAGTATTTACCTGGGTCTTCCTTTTCCTTCCCCCCCTTTTTGAAGATGGGGACAACATTTGCTTGCTTCCAGTCTGTAGGGACCTTGACTGTTATCCAAGAACAGCAAGCTCCTTTAGTACCCTTGGATTCAGCTCATCAGACCCTGGAGATTCAAATTCATCTAAAGTAGCTAGGTGTTCCCTTACTACCTCTTTGCCTATCTTGGGCTGCAGCTCCCTCCTTACATCATTTATTCTGTTATCACCAGGTTGGACATTGCTTTCTTTTAGGTGAAGACAGAAGCAAAGTAGGTGTTGAGTAGTTCCACCTTTTCTCTGTCCCCTAACAGCATTTCTCTGTCTTCCCCACGCAGGGGATCTACCATTTGCTTGTTCTTCCTCTTATTTCGGATGTAGCCAAAGAAACCTTCATTCATAAAGCTCATTATGAGCTTTAGCCAGCCTGACTTTCCCCATGCAACTGTTGGCTACTCGTGTGTACTCCTCCTTTATGATTTCCCCTTTCTTCCATTTCTTATACATGCCCTTCTTAACTCTCAGCTCATCTGTAAGCTCCTTATGCAGCCGCGCCAGTTTCCTTAGATGCCCCCCACTTTTCTTACTTTTGGAATTGTCTGTATTTGAGCCTTCAGCATTTCTCCTTTTAGAAACTCCCATCCTTCTTAGACTCCCTTCTCATTGAGTGTTTCTGATGACGGGATCACACTCAGTAGTTCCTTCAGCTTTTTGAAATTGACCTCTTTAAGGTCCAGAGTGTGTATCCAACTACGCTCAGTTTTCCCTTGCCTCTGTATCCTGAAACCCAGGAAAACATGATCCCTTCTTCCCAAGTTTCTGAGTGCTTCCACTTCATCAGTAAGTTCCTCCCTATTGGTGAGGACCAGGTCCAAGATAGATGATCCCCTTGTTGGTTCTTCCACCTTCTGGGAAATGAAATTGTCAGCGAGGCAATGGAGGAATTTGTCAGACCTTAACACTCTTGGCAGAGTTTGAGTCCCAACAGATATCGGGGAAGTTGAAGTCCCCTATGATTACTATTTCTCTCTTTTTTAATGTTTGGTAATCTGCTCTAGGAAGGCATCATCCAGGCCTTCAGTCTGGCTTGGCGGTCTATAGCAGACACCCACAGGAAGGTCACTGTTGTTTCTCTCTCCTCAATTTTTACCCATATACTCTCAGTCTGCTTTTCATGCTCCGTGTCATGGATTTCTTCACAAGTGTACACATCCTTTATATATAATGCTGCTCCTCCTCCCTTCCTGTTTGGTCTATTCCTTTTGAACAGGTTATACCCCTCAATTCCTACATGAAATTTGTTAAATTTAGCCTGCCCAGTGGCTGCAGGAAGCAGCTGGATGTAAATTGCACAGTGAATTGTGGAAAGGGCTCCTTTTGGTCTTTGGCTGCTGCCTTTCATGTCCGGTCGTGACACTCTGGTTGCTGTCTGTGGTTACTAGGCAGCTGTGATGATGCCTTTGGGCTGCAGTACGTAAGCGACTTGTACTGTGGCTTATCACCCTGCCTATGAATGAAAGCCACCTGGAGTGCACCTTCAGAAATGGTATGAGGGTGATGGTGGATGTCACTGTGGTCTTTCAGAGTTTTTTTAAAATAAAAAATAGGCTAGTCTCTTTGGAGCAATTAAATCATTTCAAGTACAGTGGTGCCTCGCAAGATGAAATTAATCCGTTCCGCGAGTCTCTTCGTCTTGCGGTTTTTTCGTCTTGCGAAGCACGGCTATTAGCAGCTTAGCGGCTATTAACGGCTTAGCGGCTTTAAGAAAAAGGAAACAAACTCGCAAGACGTTTCGTCTTGCGAAGCAAGCCCATAGGGAAATTCGTCTTGCGGAACGACTCAAAAAACGGAAAACCCTTTCGTCTAGCGAGTTTTTCGTCTTGCGAGGCACCACTGTAAAAAATCTTTCCCAACCCCCTTCCCCGCTGTGGGCCTCCCATCCTTTCAAAATTAAACGCTACTGATGTCTTCTGTTGATTTGCTGGTGGGCCTCCTCTCCCTGACTGCATTCACATCCAGGCGGTGCTCTTTTACCATTTGACAGCCATGGCTTCTCCCAAAGAAATCCTGGGAACTGTAGCTAGTTAAGGGTGTTGTCAATTGCACCTCTTGGAGGCGGTTTCCTAACTACTCTCAGCTCCCTTAACGAACTACAGTTCCCAGGATTCTTGGGTGGGGGGGGTGGAGCCTTGACTTTTAAAATTTCCTGCTTGGCAGGGGGTTGGACTCGATGGCCCTTGTGGTCTATTCCAACTCTATGATTCTATGATTAGTAGTCCATACAATGACAGCTATGTTAACATAGTGTGCTATTAGTTTCTGTTGGTTGGGTCTGTACATAAAGTCAAATACCCCACAAGGATCACATCCCTAGTACTTACATCTGTGGCTTTGTAGATTTGGCAGTTCAAGCGTGGAACATTGGTACTGGCAGTGTGGAACATGCCCACTGGCAAATCTCAGTTTGTTTGTTTTTTTTAAAGATTAAAGTGACTGTTTTAGTACTTAAGATTGTGGAGGGGAGAGTCTCAGCAGAATTTTCAGTGATTACTGGGTGGGACCAGTGCTCATTATAACTCTTTGCCTCTCCTCTGTGATTGACAGAAGGTTAATTTGGATTCAAGTCACATCATATTTATAATTTCATTGTGAGTTGAAATAATTCATTTTCTTGGTGCAGAATTTGCATTTCACTGAAACAGATTTCCTTTTTAATTGTCTAAGCCCTTCTTGTGGCTACTCCGGCACATGAGAGTGCGTTTGTTCAGATTTTGGGAATAAAGTGCTATATACTCAGTGGCATAGTGCTACCCGTGCCCACGGCAAGAGCTTGGGCGCCCCCCCCAAAAAAAACAGGGATGGAGGGCACTAAGCGAGCCACCGAGTGATGGCAGGGCGAGGAAGGTGAAGAGCACCCTCCCCATCCTGTCCCTGCCCAGTGCGCAGGCACCCGTTGGGCTGGGTGAGAGTGGAGGCCTCCATCACCCAGCCCCCGCTGCTGACGGGTGCTCATATGCCGCACGGGGTGGGTGCAGAGGCTACTCTTCACCGGGTAGAAGTGGGGCGCGGAGGGTGAAGAGCACCCCCTACAGCAGGGTTAGGCAACATAAGGCCCATGGGCCATATGTGGCCCAATTGTCTTCTCAATTTGGCCCGTGGACGGTCCAGGAGTAGAATGTGTGCTTTTATTTAAAATGCATCTCTGGGTTATTTCTGGGGCATAGGAATTCATTCATTCCCCCCCTCAAAATATAGTCCAGCCCACCACATGGTCTGAGGGACGGTGGACAGGCCCACGGCTGATAAAGGTTGCTGAGCCCTGCCTTAGACTCTGTCCCTGCAAGGCATGTGAGTGAGTGCCTGCCTGCCAGCTGGTGGGGGGGGCAGGGCAGGGGGCGGAGGGTGCTCTTCACCTTCAGAGGGAGCTCTCCGCACTCACCCAGTCCCTGTTGCTGATAGGAGGGTGCTTGGGTGCTGGGGGCCTAGGAGTGGTGCCTGGTTTGCCCCTCTTCAATTCTGCACCGGGGCCTCCCCCCCCCCCCAGCTATGCCAGTCTGTATACTACAAATGATTTCTGATGGTAAACCACACAGGAAGCTGCATAATACCACACTGCAGCTTTGCTCCAGCTAGCCTACCAATGTCTCCTTTTTTTAGGATTGATGTTGTTGAGCTTTTTTGGGATGTATGATCAAGCAGCACAAAATACTTCTGAACTACCCTTTGGATCAGATCACAGACGAACGGCAGGCAGGAGTCACAGATGATCCGCAGCACGAGCCAAATGGCGGGTGGGAGAAAAAGCCAAACGTCAGTCACCCATGTGATGTGGTCGCCGGCAGGGATACAAAAGAGGGCACATACGAGAGCCGGCGGGTGGACGGGACCTAAAGCTGCACGCTGGGCACCTGCGTGAGCCAGTCAAGCAGCCGGGATAGAGAGGCAGGCGCATGCATGAAACTGCGGCCGGGCAGGTCCTATAGCCGCACTCAGGGCTCATGCACAAGCTGCCCACGGCGAGCGGCTAAGGTCAATAAATACAGTCCAGTAACTTTAAAAATATGCACACACACATACCCAGGATCTGTTTCCCTAATTTCCAGGTGGGCAGCTATGTTAGTTTGTTGCAGCAAAACCAACAGAGAGACTTGTGGTATTTTCAACACAGACAACTCAATGCTTAATTCCTTTCATGTACTACAACAGAATTCAGAGACTGGAGAACACCAACCTGTACAGTAAAGCTCTGTTTCTGTTGGTTTTTTAAGAGAGAGAGAGAGAGAGAGAGAGAGCTGTCTCCTCCTTGCCTTCCCCCAGAAAGATATTTTGCATGTCCAAAGACTACATGTTCAATCTCTGGCACTGCCACTTCAAAACATATTGGCTATTAAAACACCCGCCAGAACTGCTGCTGGAGTGTCACTGAAAGTCAAAATAAGACAGCCCTGGGGGAGGTGGAGCAGCCGTGTGATTCTTGCGTCTTCAAAACAACAAAGCCCAGACCAACCCAATGTGTGAATGAGACTAAAGCCCTTCTGGGGAAACATCCTGTCACTCAGTGACTTCTCTGGGCCTTCTCACTTAAGGAGAAGGAACAAAGTGCCCTCAAGGCCACCTTAAGCAGCTACCTCCTCAGACATGACTAACACTTTGCTTATGAATCATTCATCAAAATTATGGCCATACTTGGGCTGTTTCCAGATGAGTAATGCAACCAGGGCCTTCGGAGTTGAACACTAGTCATGAGTTGGGAAGCTGCAGAATGTCCCAATTTTTTCAGGGTCAGCACGACGAATTCTCCCTGTCTGCTGTGCAAGTTGAGGCCAGCACAAACTAGAGAAAGCGTCTTGCACAGGGGATTTCCTCAAACAAAGTTTCAGAGTGAAAGTTTGAAAATGAGTCGAGTGGAAGCCAGGCAGACCAAATGGCACAGCTTCTCCTGGGATGCACTGCTACACCACACAGGTAGATGGGTTATGGTTTGAATAACCCCCATGCATTTAAAAAACGAAACAGAAAACTAGGAAGTCAGAGAGAAGGACTTTCTGTCTGAACATGTTTGTGTTTTTTTTAATCTGTAAGGAGGCACATCCTCCTTGGCCACTGGGCCATGCTAGGTGCAGCTGATGGGAGTTATAGTCCAGTCACACCTGGAGAGCACAGGGTTGGGGAGTGCGGGATTGAGGCATGGCAGCTTCATAGGTCATAAGTCTCCTCTTGATGGAGCCAGGTGGAGGCTTCATCTCCCAGTTTACCTTCAGAACTCCCTCACTTTGCACTGTATCGCAGACATGGTTGTCTGTGCGCTGACCCCAGAAAGTGTTCTATGGAAATTAACCGCAGTCACACTTTGGGGAGCATTTCGCTGCATGCAAACCATGGAGTCATTTCATGAAGCCACCTGAGCAGGAAATGTTACGAGTGAAGCCAGCTGATTCCCATCTCCAGATGGGTCATTGTTTGCTTCCTCAGTGCTGGGGCCATGCATTTACAGCACTGGATGACTGCAGCATCAAGTGATGCCTTGCATGTGGTGGGAATAGAAGCATAGATTTAACAATACGTCTAAAACTAAGAAAGACTGGAAGGATAAATATTCACCAACTGTAACGCAATGGTCTGAAGACCTTAGTGCCCTAGCTACATTCAAACTTATTTCATATAGCTGTCAATTTCGGGTGGGTATCTAGGTCAGCATCCAGGCAGTTTATATGTTTAATTCAGGCATGTCCATAGTCTGGCCCGCCAAATCCGGCTCGCTGGTCGGTTTAATCCAGCCCCCCAGGCACTGAGGCTTGCTCACCCGCCCACCGGTCGGCTGATACATATTTGTCCTGATGCTTAGGTGTTTATTGGTCAAAAGAACATACATAAAGTATATCCCAGCTCAACGAGGCCTTTGGGCCATCATTATAGTTGTTGCTATTATTGTTTATTATTATTTATACTTGTTGGTTGCTTGTTACCCAAAGGTCTCTAAGAGACTTTTAAAAGTCTTTTAAAAACACTACTATAAATTCACTATGCCATAAAAACAAACCTCACAATACCGTGGAAGAGCCATGGCTCAGTTGCGGAGCGTCCACATTGCATGTTGAAGGTCCCAGGTTCATTCTCTGGAATCTCCAGGTGGGGCTGGGAAGGTCCCCTCGCTGCCCAGGCTCCCATCCCAAATTCTGCAGCAGAGGCTCTCATGTGAGAGTAGAGATGTGAAGGCCCTGGAAAGAATTCAATCTCCACTGCCCCAAAATCTCCCTCTGCACCCCCCAAAAAAGAAGGAAGATTGGGGGGGGGTGCATTGGGGATGGGTGGGATTATGAAATATTTTCTTTTGGAACAGTGAGCAAAATGTTAAGGCCAGGTGTCCAAAATGATTTCTAGAACTATGCAGCAGGGAGACCTTTATGTAAGACTGTGCACAGTATCAGATAATTACAGATCATTACTGAGAGTACAACTCTCAAATGCAAGCGCAAAATGCAATTTTTGCCATTGTCACAAGGGGAGGAAAGTTTCTTCCAGAAAAACCAGGGGTGGGGGTGGGGGGTGGGAAGCTTGACAATTTCTGTAAATTTTACATCTCTACGTGGAGAGTAAGAAAGCTTTTCTCAAGACTTGCACTGGTGCAGGGCAGGCTATAGGTACAGAATGCCAAAGTGAGTTTGAGAACTGCATCAAGGATTTGAGACCATACGAGAGCTGCAAATGTGTCTCGACGAATAGCCGCTCCCCTTCTGCCAGCTATTAAAGGCAAGATGTGGCCCGCTCACTCGCAAGGCTCTTTCCTCCTATGGCACTGGAGCACTTGGAGGCATGCACTCCTCCAAATGGGATCCTGGTCCCAGTGGTGGAGGCGACTGAGTCTTTGTCAGCAGGACAGAGGTCATCCCCCATGGCTCCTCCTCCTCCTCCTCCTCCTCCTCTCGGCTGGTTGACATCTTTGGTCATTGCTAGGGAATCTCACAGCTCCCTGGCTGGTGGCAGAATAGGGAGCCAGCAGGACAGTCTCCCCTTTCGTGCCCTTTAAAGGTGTAGAAGCAGGGCGCCCACCCTCCCTCCCAGGCCCCCACCCCAGCCCTAAGGCAGCTGGGATTGTGGGGTCACATCACCCTCAAACCCTGAGGAGCTGCTGCCAGTCGATGGATCAATGACCCAAGCTAGTATAAGGCAGATTCCTATGTTCCTGAGCATGCTCTGCTCGGACTGAGTCCTGCTGCTTCCTTCTGGGGAAACTGCTCTTTAGCGCTCAGTTGGAGCAAATGACAATTCAGGTTTCTCAGGAATTGCCATTTGTTCCATTCAGTTGCTGAAGAGCAGGTTTTGCCTTGGAAAGGAGCAGGGCAAGGGGAAAGCCCCTCAGACCTGTGCCTAGAACGCGTGGGTCAAGCAGAAAACCACTTTGGCCTGTGCTTTCTAAGTGTGGACGAGCCCTCTCTGGCAGAAGCTGTCCAGCATCTCAGCTGCATCTTTGTCAACTCTGCTTCCTGAGAGTCTTTTAAAACTGGAAATGCTGAGCGCTGATTGTGTGGAGCCTTCTGCATGCAAAGCTTGTTCTTTACCACTGAGCTGTGGAGGTTGCTCTGTCCTTTGCAGCCACACTCCCCACATCCCCGGCCCATCCCCTGAGTTCCCATGTGTGCGACGTGAACATTTTCTTCCACCATAAAGTGAGTAATAGCCTGCCCCCTCCCCAGCTTGCTACTCTCTGCTGTGTCGCACATGGGGCTTCAGAGGAGTTACGTTTCAAATTGCTTGTTTCTGAACAAGCTTGCTTTTGAACAGTGTATTCTTAGTTCTGCGGTGACTCAGGCAGGCAGCACCTTGGGGAAGAAAGTAGAAGCGAATGGAGAGGAGAAGCATCTCAGGTGATGGTGGAAGGCTGTGGGTGGGCGGTGGAGCAAGTGGGCCTTTGGCACTGACGTTTGGAGTTGTGGGGACTTAGCGTGCCTTCAGCTCCCTGGGAGCCAAAGCTCATAAGCGGTACAGGGTGCCTTGCTGTCAGCGCCCCATAATTATGATATGCTAGCCCACGCTGTGATTTACACTTCAAATTTCCTTTTCCTTTTCAGCCACTCTACAACCAGCCCTCAGACACAAGGCAATACCATGAGAACATTAAAATGTAAGTACATGGCAGCAATAAAGTCCTCTTCCATCTCTTTCTCTCTACCCCCTCCCCGCCTTCCTTTCAAATGTCTGTGCATTAGTGAGATTAAGGCAGGGGGAGAAAGAGATTCTTTGCCCTTCCTGCCTCAAATCTCTTCCTCCGCAGCCGAGACAGAAAAGCAGGAGGGGACATCTCTCCTGTTTGCCCTCGTGCTGCGCTTCCTGCTTTTGAGGCTTGAAGCAGCAAAATGTCCTAAGTGGTTTGTCATTTGGAGTCAGCGGAGAGATGGAGCAGGGGCGGCTAGAGTGTTGTGGGCAATTGCTGTGGAAGGTGAGGGAGGGAATCCGCTGTTGGAAAACAGGAAGGGGTGTGATGAGAAGGGAATTGGGGGACGTTCGTGTGCCTGTGTTTGGATGGGAGATTTGAAACGACCTGAAGATTCATGGCATTTTTCACCATCCCTGAGCAGTTCAGCAAACAGGATTCTGCACTTGCACAGAGCTCGTTTGGGATGTCTGTAGAGGATCCTGCACTAGCCATGGGAGCAAGGTGGCTTTGGTCAGCACAGCCAGAAGATTGGGACGAGGGGAGTGAGGCCAGGTCCCTTGGTGCTCAGGTCGGAAATTCCAACCTGACCTAGAAGTTATCCTGAAGTGAAGCCTTGCAACTTAAGTCTAGTTTCCTGTCCTTCCCCCAAAGAGACCACAACCACAGTGTGTCATCTTACAGCAGCTCTTACAGCAGATCAGGTGTGGGTTTTGAGTTGGTGTAGATCATCAGGCTTCCTCAACCTGGCCACGTCTGGATGTTTTGGACTAGAACTCCCATCATGACTGATCTCTGGCCATGCTGGCTGGAGCTGATGAGAGTTGTTGTCCAACGAAGTCCACTGAGTGCCATGCTTTGGAAGACTGAGCCAAACTGTAGCGAAGGGTGTGTGTAAAAGAGAGAGAGAGACAGACAGACAGACAGACAGACAGACAGACAGAGAGGAGGGGAGGGAGCTGGGAGCACTGTGCTTTATCTCTGTTGTTCTGGTTCCACCATTACATTAATATTTTGGCTTTCCTGATACATATTTGGTGTTTGAAGCAAAGGAAAGGGTGGCACCTTCCATGTACAGAAGCTGACAGAACTGGCAAGTGACAGGAGAATACGCTCAGTCGTACTGAGAGCAGCAGGCTAACATAGAGGCCACATGGCAGGCTGCATGCGAGATTCATCTCTGTCTTCCTGCCACTGCCACCCCTCAGCTTCTGCTGCTTGAGTCAGCTGCCTCGCCTTCCTTAACAGTTGTGCTGGCCCTGCTTTGGCTATAATGCTCCCTGGACCTGTTCATTATTGTGGGGACTTTTAATGTTCTCCCTGGTGTTTTGTTACTAGCTTTGGGTTGGGATGGCTGACGGAGTCCCAATATGTGTTTTTGGAAGGCTGGGAGTTGTTGGGCTGGATGCTGACATTCACACAGCAGTGGGCAGAAGGAGGTTGGGCTTCCATGATGGGAGAAGGACAACTGTGAGGGCCTTTCTTCCGCCTCATCTGGGGCGGCCTAGTAGACTTGTTGGCAACCTCCCGCGTTTCTGGGTGCTGCGGGTTAATGTTACGCCACCAATAATAAGATCATAAAATCCAGGAATTGATCCAGAATAAGCAAACCTATTTCTGCCATGCATCACCAGCTGGAGCAGGTGGGAGAGGTCTCCTGTTGTGGACCTACAGATTTCAAACCTCGCCGCAGCCAAGACTGGAGAGGTGGGGTGAAGGAACAAACCAGCCCCCTGCCCATGTTCTCTAGTTCCCAAGTTTTGAGTGCTTCCCCTTCAGACGGTGTGTATGTGAGACAGTATTGGAGTTCTTTTGGTGCACCAGATGCCATGCTGCCCAGGAGGCTCCCCTGCCAGAGCTGGCCAGGGTGGTCTTCGGTGTGGCATTGCATTTCTTATATTTATATTCTTCATGTCTTCCATCATAGATCCCAAGGTGGCATATACCAGGTACTGACCAGATCCACACCCACTTAGCTTTAGCAGGGTGGCGGCTCCTTATGCCTTCATGCCAGGGGTAGGCAACCCAATCGCCTTCTCAATCCAGCCCATGGACGATCCGGGAATCAGCATGTGCTTACATGAGTAGAATGTGTCCTTTTATTTAAAATGCATCTCTGGGTCATTTGTGGGGCATAGGAATTCATTCATTCCCCCCCCCCCAATATAATCCGGCCCACCACATGGTCTGAGGGACGGTGGACCGGCCCACAGCTGAAAAAGGTTGCTGACCCCTGCTTCATGCCATATCCTGGGACCCTGAGATACTGGTGCTGAGGCAGTGTGCATGCCCTTTCCCACCCCCAACCCCAGACCCTGATAGGTGCAGCTCGGGATTTAAAGGCCATTTGTCACAGTCCTTGCATGTTTCCTAGTGGCTCACCTCATTGGATAGCTTAAATACGGTTCTTGTCAGCTGTGGGTGGCTGCCCTGGCATTCAGGAACACACTGAGGGGAACATGATGGTAATGTATATCCTCTGTGGTCCCCTCTGGAGGACTGTCCCTTGCCTGCTGAGCCACAGTGCAGCTAGAGGAGGGAGAGAACAGCCACAGCAGGCTTGTATTGCTGCCCGGAGGCTGTCAGCCCAAGCCAGTGAGTGAGGAGATAAAATCGGAATGGACTGCTGGGTTGGCATTTGTGGCCCTGTGCAGCTGAGACTTGGCACAGCAAACCTGGAGGGGAACAAACACCAGAAGCTGCCTTATATCGAGTCAGCCCACAGGTCTGCCTGGCTCAGTATTTCCATACACTGGTTGGCAGCAGCTTTCCACCTGCTGTACCTGGAGTCGTACCTGGAGAAGTTAGGGCTTTCTGCCCCAACCTCCTTTTGCCTCTTATCTTTGGCTTCTGCAGTCTCAGTGCCACACAACTAACAAGGACTAGGAACTTGTCTCTCTGTGTGTTGAACTAAAATGAAAGAACCCATAGGGTTGTATCCAAATACGTTTTACTCAGTGAAGTTAGCCATCTCCACCAGTTTTAATGGGCATACTCTTGTGTATGGCTAATGTTACCCTCGGAAGGTAGCCCACCCGTGATTTAAGTCATGCAATCAATTCTGAGGCTGCCCAGGGAGCCTCTGAGCCCAGAAACCCCTTGTCCTCCTATCTGTTCCCTCCCCTTCCTTCTCCTCTCCTTCCACTGCTACCAAGGTACGCCATTGTTGCATTTTTGTGGGCCTGGAGATGTGATGATGAGTCTCCATTCTGGCATGTCATTCTTAACAATTGGTCCCATAAGGCTGTCCTCTCTTCCTCTGCACAGTGTGCCCTTTTGATCCACGTAACCAATGCCTGGATGTTTAATGTTTCTGCCTTTTAACAGTGCACAGTTAAAATTAATTTCATGCCCCAGTTCATTCCTGCATCTGCAATTTCAGGAGCTTCTAAATCATTGCATTCAGCTCCCTGGGAGACCAAGATGCAGTGTGGCTTAAAGAGCTTCACTGTGACTTTGTACATTAGCTGTGGTGGTAACACAAGAAGCTGCCTTAATGTAAAATCTGGCCTCTAGTGAGTCCAGCCCAGCTTTGACACAGTTTTGACTTTCAGTGGCTCTCCCAGACCTTAGGCAGAGAGAGGCCTTTCCCTTCCTTGTAGCAGAAATTGGGTTCAGAGGAATGCCTGCCTAAACAGGTATGTCTTTGGGAGCTGGCGGAATGCCAACTCTGATGGAGCCTCATCAATATTGGCATCTTACCAGCTCCTGAAGACTCATCTGTTTAGGCAGGTGGTCCCCTGAGCTGATTTTATTGATCTAGCTGTTCTTTCCAAACTGTTGGGCTTTTTGATTGATAGTTTGATTGTATATTTTAATTAAGCATGGCTGTTGTTAATTTTAATTATATCTTGATTTTAGAGTTGTAAACTGCTTTGAAGTCATTTTTGGCATGTAGCCAGGGCAGTGTATAAATTAATAAACAAATAGCAAGGGATCCTTTAGCACAAGGATGGGAAACCCATGGCCCTCCACACATTGTCAGATTCCAGCTCATGTCATCCTGGCTGAGGCTGATGGAAGTTAATGTCCAGCATCTGAAGAGCCACCTGGCTTTGTATTGTCCACACGGAGTGGCAGCTCTTCTCCCGCGGGGGCTTCAGGCAGGAGTCTCTCCCAGCCCCACCTGGAGATGCCAGTAGGGATTGATCCTGGCACCTTCTGCTTCCAAGGCAGGTGCTGCAATCCCACTGCTACCAACCCCTCCTTGGGCTACAGCTTCAAATGCCTTTAGCCTGGAGTGACCCTAATGAATTTGCACCGGTAAGAGCTGGGCTATAAAAGGATTGCATTTCTACTGTTTTCAATTATTAAAATCTTGCTTTTGGAGGCTCTCTCCTTCTTTGACCTTTTTGCCTTCTCTTCTCTGTAATACGCTCTGCTTCATGCTGAAGGTATGCAGCAAGTTGCCAAGGTGGCCACATACTTGCATAGTCTTCTTGGGTGCTTGATTCCCTTTCCCCTTTTAAACACAGCTGGCAACCCCCTCAATTAAAAATTCCTCCCACGTCCCTTTTCTGCTCCCTAGCATTCAGAGTTTCTCTTGTGAGCTTGCAAGAAAGTGTTTGGATGAATTATTGAAATGCTTGAGAAGCATGTTGCTGGCCTTGGTGGTTTCCTTCTCCCTCAACCCCTGACTCCCAAATACTATGTACCATTCCCTCTCCCCTGCCCCACCTCAACCCAAGTGGATGAGGTACCAAGAACTGTGGCGAGCAAAGTATGAGTAGGAATATAGGAAGCTGTTTTACAACAGGTCCTTCTACCTCTCCCTCTAGCTGAGGGGTAGTCAACCCGGTGCTTTCCAGATTTTGCTGAACTGCATCTCCCATCATCCCTGGCATAGGGACATAGGAAGCTGCCTCATATGGAGTCCGATTCTTGGTCCACCTAGCTCAGTGTTGTCTACACTGATTGGCAGTAGCTCTCCAGGGATTGAGAGAGGAGGCATTCCCAACTCTAGCTGGAGA